GCCAGAGTCTGAGCTTCGGCAAAAGACAAATGCAGTCTGGAACAGACTCCTTCCATATATTTGCACCAGGCTACTTGTATGCTTCTCAGTTAAAAAACCATATGCAAGGCGTTGATAATGTTAGTAAATATGAAATCGAACAGTGACTAAAAATGCCATTATTGAATATAACTGAGCAGAGTGATATTTATACATTTAATTTCCAAACATCGAAGTTCCAAATTGCTTCCTTCAGCTTTATTACGAGGGAGTTACATTTTACGTCGATACAGCAGTACTGTTGCTTTGAATAAATAGTAACGTATTTATCTTTCACAGACGTTTTCTGGGTAAATTCATTCCCACGTTCTTTACACGGTTATTGGATGCAGCTGAAATCGTTGCTTAAGCTGGGAGTAAATAATTCGTGAAATAAAGTTACATTTTGCTTGTACTCATTTTCTTAAGCGTGGTTTGAATAAAGAAGGTTGGGTTACAACCGTTGAGATTTGTTGGTGGCTTTTATACATCTATGATGGGAGTTATTCTACGACGGCATCATCAACCAGGAGTGCCGGGTTTTCTTTGAAGGCACCGCCTCCAACCCCATGGAGCAGAACTAGTTTACTCACCTCCAGTTAGATTCGAACTCACTGTCTCTAGTCTCTGAGTCTGTTGCTATACCAAATGAGCTACCTTGACGTAATGAACCACTGACCACAGTTCACCAATCACATCTATCAGTTTATCATTATCACTTCACCGACTTGCTCGTCATCATCTTTCCAACGAAAGTAGCGCCAAGCACGCGAACAGTTTCAATAAAAAGTTTGTTATTAAATTCTAGATTTTGGAATTGACAAAATTCTACTACAATTAAAACTGTCAGTTCCATAAAGAAATCAAAACATCGCGATATTTACGAATGTACTGTAATTATGAAAACAATAAAATAGCAAGTTACTTCTCATTTATTGCTGTGGATCTGTTCCTCTTTGGCATATCGTTGCCAGAAATCTTCTTTCGCCTGAAAATCACATCATCAGCAGGTACTGTTTTGACCCAGTTCGTTGTGACGACAGGCGATTGGGCGGAGAGTGAGAAAAGAGACTCTTCGTTTTCTGAGTCATCCGGAGAAAGCCAGATCTTTTGTTTCTGTTCGACTTGTGGTTCGGAGCTAAAGCTGCTAGCACTTTCGGCATGACTGAGGCGATGGCCGTTGGTTCGGCTGAAGTGCGAGCGCATCATGGGCCTTTCAAACTCGGCTGTTTCGGTAGAGGTCGAGGAAAAGATGGGAACGGTCTTTCGCTTCGACCGCTCGCCTCCCTTCACATACATTCGTTGGTCGCTAGCCCTCATGGGCAGTGAGTATTTCTTCGCAATGAAAGTCTCTTCGGCGCTCGGCACGACATTGTCTCTGGATGAAGGCGCCAGGACCTGCTTGTGAAATCCGTTCATGCCTGCACGAGCGATGCTCGAGGTCCACGGGGATGTCGACGTCTTGTCCAGCTTCGTAAGCTGCGTTAACCGAGGTGACACAAACTTCGAAGCGTTTCTCTGGTAGCCGCCTTCCAGTCGATAATCACCATCTGAACTCGTTCTGTTCGCCACCGGTTTCCTCAACGCAAAGTGATCAAAAACTTTTCTGTCGTCGGCGCCACGTTCTCCAACCTGCAAAGTGCGCACAACGTGACGGACATTATACAAAACGCAGTGATTTAAAGCGCTTTAAATTCAAGTTAAGTGTTGCTCACAGTTCGCTTTAATAACCAACAGTAAATGTGAAAGCAAACTGCAATTACTGTCGTAATCACCGAGTATCCGCTTCAGACAGTTTGTAGACATCACAGAACAAACGCAATCAAAACGAGTATCACGCCTTCAGCAAACATCCGGATGTCCTGCCTCAAATATTGAATTTTGCATATTCACTGCAGCACAGCGCCCCAAAACGAACCCTAAGGCATTGCCGCAACCCTCTTCGCAAAGTACAGAAACGAATCAGTGGCTAGTTGAGCGAAAAAATAGGTCAAAAGTAATTCTTACGGTCACCAAAAGTAGCCAGTAATCTAAAGGCAATAATGTCTTTCCTCAAAGGTTAGCTTATTTGCGAATAAGCATACAAGTAACCTCAACCTCTGCACAAATCATTTATTACTATTTTCACACGAAGGGAATCCAAGAAAGTCAAACAAGAGCCTGAACCTGAACAACTGCCCATATTTGAACCTTCCCTTGTACAAAGGTATCCAAAGCGTTCGACAAAAACCTTTTTATGACCTGAAAGCAGCCAACGCCTTTATAACTTTTGATGCTAGAAAATGCGCGATACTTTCGTAAATGCCATGAACGTGAAAACCCTCGGCCAACGATGCACTCGTAGTCGGGAACGAACAAAAGGCTTTAGTCCATTAAAGTAATGCAATAGTTTAGGAGAAGGTCAGCATCGTCATTCATGGATGCTGGGTCATACTCTGGCAACTTCGTATCTGAAAAAGACTGTTTCCCACTGCTGGTATCTTTCTGTCACATGAACGATGGTGTCGATCGATTTTCAGACCAGTCAGTTGAAATTTTATTTCAGCACTATTTCAGGTATCCCCTCGATTTTCTTTCTTGGACGCTGCCTATCATGAAGGTCGCTTGACCATGATGGATATTTGAAGTGCCGCAATTTTCTGTGCCTAAGAGTTGATAGCAGAAACTATTGTTCCGCTGCGAATCAGAGACACCAGACGGACAGACGACCAAACGACCGGCAAAGAGTCCACCTTGATGAAAGTTTGTAAGAAAGGGGCGGAAACGTGGGTATTTTTCAATCACCTTTTGCGTTATGCATGGAATAAGTCTTTTTATGCTAAGAGGACTAATTATGTAGTGCAACACTTATTAGGAATTGTGCTATGCGGGGTTCCTCAAATTTTTTAAAGCCTTCAATTAGACACATCCTCAGGTAATGGGGCATATAATTCTTCATCAGGCAATGTCACAGGCAAAGTTACAGGTGAATTCACGTGTCCGACGGATTCTGCGAAACAAACTGCACATACAAAACCAAAGCAGCGTTGCGCAGTTCTACCTTTGACGTACTGTTGATTAGGCACGTATTTTTCCCTCCACTACATGGAGAATGCCGTCTTGAGGCATTAAGATGTTACCACAAGTCAGCGCTGCAACTAAAGAGACCCACAAGTGATTCTAGCACATTCTTTGAGCCTATGGATATCCTGCTGCTCGATAACTCATTGATTACTCATCCGTTCACCGAAAATTTGGACAGCATAGGTATGAAAATAGGGCTACCAATCAGTCCAATAACTGACAATGATAACTTGAATATTCTATTAAACAGTACAGAGAAAGCTCCCGCAGAACATCAGCGTTATATTTTGTCACAGTCAGAAGAAGGATAAGTGAAAGAAGGAAAGAAAGTGCATGAATGATGAAGAAGTTTTCTTATTCGCGTGAATAGGTTTGCCAACGAATCTCGATCCAGTTTTCATAAAGATCACTAAGCATTAGAATAATAGAAAACACAGCTACAATAAAAGTGAAGAAATGCTATGCATTGGACATGTCCGCTATAACATCGATATCGATTAGCCTACTACCTTGACTGCAATTAAAAATAACGTCTGCGATTCTACAGTATACAAATGCGTAGTGTCTACATTTGAGAATTTTGAGAAAGTTTTTCGAAATATGGAAAGTCCGGCTAATAATGGCGGAACGCATTACCATCCTGAATCCCTATTATCATCCGCTGCACAGGTTGAAAACGCACCTTGTCCCACAATGTGATGAAACGTGATTTGACCACTTTCAGAAACGCTGCCCTTCGAAAGGTCGTCAGAGCACAATGGTGCTGGTGAGGCAGCCAATGACAGGTGTTGATAATTACTGATCTTGGAAAACTACTAAATATCTCAGAAGTTGATACACTTTCAGGACTCTGATATTGGAATCATAACTCGACAGCAGCCACGTTGAAGGAAACTCCATATGTGTCGCAGTCCGGTTTCTGTGAAGAGAAATGCTGACTTTGCCACAGCAGTCAATCACGTGCCTAATGCTATACGAGTTCCCATGAATCTGCAACATTTACGTTCTCAGATATAGTAAAAGTTGTCATCAATTAGTGCTGCGGAATACTTATCCTAATATCCTAACATATAAGCGTTTATACGGTCAATTTCAGAGGATTCTACATGAAATATGTTGCCGACATAAATTTGAGAGACTGCAAAATCTAGATCAGAAAATTCGATCAACATTAGTGAGGCATGTTTACTATTTACTTAACCCCATTTCCAAACCATACTTAAACTTAGTTGAAGTAAAGAGATAATCTGGTACAGACGTAATGTGAACTTGCTCATCACTCGATGGACAGTCAAGCACTATATTGAAATCAGGGCCCTGCTTCGAGAGTTCATCATTACGTTTTACTTATGTTTTTCGTTGTAAACAAGATTCAACCGTA